AATTGGAAATAGATGGCAGACTGTGTGGGGAGGTCAGTGTGCTATGTTAGAGCCTACGGTAACTAGACAGCTAGGGAAGCAAATGCAATGTCTTGGTTATCTACTGCTGCGTAACAAACCAACCCAACACCTGCAAATGCAATGTCTTGGTTATCTACTGCTGCGTAACAAACCAACCCAACACCTGCAAATGCAATGTCTTGGTTATCTACTGCTGCGTAACAAACCAACCCAACATCTCACAGCCACTGAGATGCCTACTATCAAAACAAACAAAAACCTGAAAAACAGAAAACCGCATGTGTTGGTGAGGATGTGGAGAAACTGGAACACTTGTACACTGTTGGTGGAAATGTAAAATGGTGCTGCTGCTACGGTAAACAGTATGGCAGTTTCTCAAAAAATTAAAAATAGAATTATTATACTGTACGATACAGCAATCCTGCTTCTGGGTTTCTACTCTGGAACTTTGAAAACTTGAAGAGATATTTGTACACACATGTTCCTGGCAGTATTATTCTAAAGTAATATCCTACAGGTGGAAGCAATCCAAGTGTCCCTCAATGGATGAATGGATAAATGAAATGTGGTATACACACACATACAAGAGAATATTATTTAGCTTTAAAAAGGAAGGAAATTCTGACACATGCTATACCATGGATGATACTTAAAGACATTATGCGTGGTGAAATAATCTAGTCATGAAGGGACAAATACTATATGATTCTACTTGAATGAGGTACTTAAGAGTAGTAGAATTCATAGACACAAAGTCGAATGGTGGGTGCCAAGGGCTGGGGCAACAGAGAGTTACTGTTTAATGAGGAGAGAGTTTTAGTTTAGGAAGATGAGAAGAATTCAGTCGCTGGATGGTGGTGATGGTAGCATAACAATGTGAATGCAGTTAACGCCATTGACCGGTACCTTTAAAAAGGTTAAGATGATAAATTGTATGTAATGTATATTTTTGTTGTTGTTAATGTATGTTTTGTTGTTGTTGCTTAGTCGTTAAGTCATGTCTGACTCTTTTGTGACCCCATAGACTGAGGCCCACCAGGTTCCTCTGTCCATGGGATTCTCCAGGCAGGAATACTGGAGTGGAGTTGCCATTCCTTCTCCAGGGGATCTTCCAGATCCAGGGATGGAAACTTCATCTCCTGCACTGGGAGATGCAGATTCTCTACCACCCAGCTGCCAGGGCAGCCCAGTATATTTTTTGACTCCAGTTAAAAAAAAGTTAATATACTAACCTCCACTCCTCAAACCAAAAAACCACCACCAAAGCCCATTGTATTATCTCATGATTCTGTGGGCTCACTGGGCCTGCCTGAGAGGTACTTTTTCTCCATGTGATGTCTACTGGGTCTGCAGTCATATGGGGCTTGGATGGAGCTCAGTCTCATGGCTGGCAGTCTGGGGGAGACACCAGGCACTGTTCTAAGTATTTGCACATAGGAACTCATTTAATCCTCATAACAAAACCTGAGACAAATAATACTAACACCTCCATGTCACAGATGAAGAAACTGAGACCCAGAGAGGTGTAGGAACTTGTTCAAAGTCACACAACTCTAGGTCATTATGGTTGTGGCTGATATCCTCCTTGTCTGAACTCAGAGTGATCCCTTGAAGGTTTTCTGTTGTTGTTTTTTAAAAACAGTTATTTCTTTATTTTTGGCTGTGCAGGGTCTTCATTGCTTTTCTCTAGTTGCAGCGAGTGGGACTACTTTCTAGTTGTAGGGCACAGGCTCTAGGATGCACGGGCTTCGGTAGTTGTGGCGCATGGGCTCAGAAGCTGCATCTTGCAGAGCGAGGGCTTGTTAGTGTGGCACAGGGGTTCAGTTGCCCTGGAGCACGTGGAATCCTCCTGGACAAGGGATCAAGCTGGTGCCCCTTGCATGGCAAGGTGGACTGTCAACCACTGGACCATCAGGGAAGCCTGGTTTTCTCTGTTGTAATGCCACATGTGGGGTGTGGATTCATTGATGAGTTGGGGCACCTGTGTATTTGTGCCCTAGCCTCTCCAAGGGTACCATGCAGCCAACCACCCAGGACTTATCACTTCCTCCTCACTGCTCAGTCCTGTTACCTTGAACCTTGATTGATGATTCTTTTTTGTGCCTCAGGGAATTCTGTCCCCTACTCTTCCAATTGTGATTAAAAGTATTTATCATGGGACTTCCCTGGCGGTCCAGTGGTGAAGACTCTGTGCGTCCAACGCAGGGGGTGCAGGTTCAATCCCTGGTCCAGGAACTAAGATCCCGCAGGCCACACGGTACAGCCAAAAATTAAAAAAAAAAAAAAGTATTTATCATAATCTCTCCAACCAATTCTGGACTAGACAGCCAAGTAAGTACTTCTATTGTTGGCCTCATTGTACAAAACTCCCATAGAAAGGAACACATAAGGATGCAGCTACCTTCACCAATCTTGGAATTAGGACATTTAAAGGAGAAATTTTTACGAGATTATCCAGTTACACAAGGAAGGGAGTTCCTGGCACCTTTTATCTAGTTCAGATACATCCAGAGTGTGGACAGAACCTGCAAAGAATATCCTCAAACACTGATTGGTCCTCTTTGAGGAGTCTTGGAAAAGGCAAGAGATGCCAGGAGATGGGTAGATTTTAAACCAGTTTTTAAAAACTGGGACAAGAGGTAGATTCCAATACCAGCTTACCTGAAACTTGGCAAAACCTTTTGAGAAGATTATTAAATACACAATCTGTAAGACTTCAGCAAAGAAATGGTCTCATTTCTTTAATAGCGTGGTCACCAGACTGGAGGATCTGTGAAATAATACATTCTGAATTGAAGCATGGACTTTAACGAGGACTCTCATTAAAAATGATCTTGCAGGCAATGAGCTGGTTGGATGGTGTTATGGACTGAATGTCTGTGTCCCTCTGCCAAATCCATAGGTTGAAGCTGTAACCACCAATGTGATGGTAGCTCATCAGCTGGCTGTATGAGCTACACCCTCTTTCTCTTCCTCTTCACTGCACAGTGAGAAGGTGGCTATCAGCAAGCCAGAAGGAGGAGCCTCAACAGAATCTGACTCTGATGGCACTCTAATCTTGGACTTCCAGTCTACAGAAGCTGTGAGAAAATAAAATTTCCATTGTTTCAGCCACTCAGACCATGGTGTTTTGTTATGGCAGCCTAGGTTGACTAAGGACAGGAAGCCTGGTGTGCTGCAATCCATGGAGTCAAAAAGAGTCAGAGAAGACTTAACGACTGAACAACAGATTGACTAATATAGATGGGTTTGTAGCTGATTCAGCAGAAGTTCTTGAAATGAACTAGCATGCTTCTTGGTACATAGTTGGTGCTTAATACGTAGTCAACGAAGACGATGTAGATGTTTTTCTGGAATGCCTTTGCTTTCTCCATGATCCAATTAATGTTGGCAATTTGATCTCTGGTTCTTCTGCCTCTTCAAAACCCAGCTTGCACAGCTGGAAGTTCTCAGTTCACATACTGCTGAAGCCTAGCTTAAAATAGTTTGATATTACTCAGCCATTAAAAATAATGAAATAATGCCATTTGCAGCAGCATGAATGAACCTAGAAATTATCATACTAAGTCAGAGGAAAACAAATATCATGATATTATTCAGATGTGGAATCTAATTTTAAAAATGATATAAATGAACTTATTTACAAAACTAAAGCAGACTCACGGTTTTTTAAAACAAACTTATGGTTACAAAAGGGGAAAAATGGGGCAGGGAGTGGGGAGGAATAATTAGGAAACTGGGATTAACATACACACTATTATGTATAAAATAAATAACCAACAAAGACCTACTATATAGCACAGGAAGCTCAATATTCTGTAATAGCCTGTATGGGAAAAGTATCTGAAAAAGAATGAATATATGTATATGTATAGGGCTTCCCTGGTGACTCTGTGGTAAAGAATCCCCCTGCAATGCAGGAGACGCAAGAGACCCAAATTTGGTCCTTGGGTTGGGAAGATCCCCTGGAGAAGGAAATGGCAACCCACTCCAGTATTTGTGCCTGCAGAATCCCGTGGACAGAGGAGCCTGGCAGGCTACAGTCCATGGGGTTGCAAGAGTTGGACATGACTGAAGCAACTTAGCATGCATGCATGCATGCATAGCTGAATCTGTACAGGTGTACAGAGGTACTATACTATACCAGAAATTAACTCAACATTATGATTCAACTATGCCCCAATAAATAAAAATTAAAAAACTAAAACAAACTGTAGCCCTCAATTTACTATGTCTATTCTTTTTCTCCCTTCACTGGATGATAAGCTCTCTGAAGGCAGGGTTTTGGTCACTGTTACATCCCCAGCACCGAGAGGAGCGGCTGGTTGACAAGATTCCTTCGCTGTCTTTGCTGCCTCTTCCTGTTCTGTCCCTTCTGGCTCAGAGTAGAACCACACTCTCGCTACTCCTCTGAAATGGCCGTTGGATTTGTTTTGGCTCTTGAAATGTGAATTAAAGGTGACACGTGCTGCCTCCAAAAGGGACGTTTCAGAGTCAATGTGTGGCTTGCCCCCTTCATCCTGTATGTTTGCCCACACCCCTTAGGACTGGGTGGAGCAGAGCCCCTGCAACCTGAGGTACACAGTAATGTTGGCAAGAAAGACACCTTGTTGTTTTGAGTCACTGAGATGATGGGGATGTTTGTTATTGCAAAATAACCTAACTGACCTTGACTGATACATCAGGCCTTCAATAAATATTTAATGAATAGTCAGTGAATCCTTTGGTTGTGTAGAGTGGAAGAACTCCACTCTAGGTATTGATATATATGTACTTATCATATAGTAATAATAATAATTGCTATTATTTTTATTAGTCTTTTTGAGTGCCAAAGTTTGCAAGGCACAGAACTAAGCATTTTACATGTCCATTTAATTCTTAGTAATTAAATATGAGATAAGTGCTTTTATTATTCATATTTGTCAGATGATGAAACTGAACCATGGAGAAGTTCAGACCAGATTGACCGTCACCGCCTGACTTTTATTAGCCAATATTCTGGAGCTCACACTGGGTGACCCCCAGCCCCTGAAGACCACGGTCAAAGGGTACCAACTGGCAGTGGGAATACCTGCAGTCATCATCTCCTTGTATCTCTTCAGCCTCTGGGTGTGGAGCAGGCAGGAATGTGTGCTCAGAAACAGGGAGAGACAGACAGCTTGCTAAACTGCCGAGCTGGGTGATAGGTCACTTGGATGACTCCATGTCTGGTTAATATCTCAGGATGCTGTAAGTGGTTTGGCTGCCAATAAAATTCCCCAAAATATGCTCTGGGGGAAAAACAGCCAATCATCTAAAAAAAAAAAAAAATCCAACCTCCACCCTAGCCCTTTAATTTTTAAATTCTTTGTGTATTCTTTGGGAAAATTCAATCCATATGTTTCTCAGCCTTTATACACTGAAATGTTTCTGAGGGAGTAATAAAATTCCCCAAAATATGCTCTGGGGGAAAAACAGCCAATCATCTAAAAAAAAAAAAAAATCCAACCTCCACCCTAGCCCTTTAATTTTTAAATTCTTTGTGTATTCTTTGGGAAAATTCAATCCATATGTTTCTCAGCCTTTATACACTGAAATGTTTCTGAGGGAGTATTTGACTTCCCCAATCTGCAGAACCTTCCCCCACTTGCCTCTCCCTGTCTTCTACATTACTGCATCTCTCCCAACACTTTAGAAGAGGGAATTCAGGTTCCAGCAAAAGCTAACCATGGGGGAAACATTAAGGCTCTGTGCTGAGAAGCTGGAATGGCTCTGAGCCACTGAGATGCCTACGGGAGCATCCTCCAGGGTCCGTCACCTCCAAGCCTCACGCCGCATCAGACAGGCTGCCCTCACCCATTCTGTGTGTCCCACTCCATGAGTGTTGCCTTTGGAACAGCGGAGACACCTTGCGAGACCTCAGTGTTTCTGGACACACTCGGAGTCAGGACAGTACAAAGCCAGACAGCACAAAGACTTATGTAAAACCAGACGGGGATTCACATTTTGTTGGGAGCCTAGAGCCTTGGCCAGAAGAATCTCAAGATAGCTCTACCCACTCCTGATGGCGCGTTTTCATCGAGGGCCAGCTGGGGACAGGCGAGTGGAAAGAGGCGTGTATGCTTCGTAGCAGAGCTCAAGTGTTGGGCTGCACAGCGGCTTCAAGCCAAGCTCCACACGGTGGAAGTGATAATAATTATTAATGCCTGACATTTGTGTAACAGTTCATAGTTTTAAAAAGGCTGTCAGCAGCTTGATATAGCCAGTATGTTGGAGCCAAAATGTTTAGATTCCCATTCTTTGTCCTAGCTGTGCAACCCTGGGCAAATCACCCAACCTCTCTGAGCCTCCATTTACTCACTTGTGAAATGGGGAAAATCTTGACTCCTGTCTCATAGGCTAGTTGAGAATCTTGTGATAAAAGGCCAGCAAAGTCACTTTCAAGCTGCAAAGTGCTAACAGCTGAAGGTGGTTGCTGTGGTGCTGATACCACCATATCTCACTTGCTGAAGTCTGTATTTTTTTTTTCACTTAAAAAAAATTGCAACTTGTAATTTATAACATTGTAACACAGCATCTTCAATTTCCCATATATATACATATACACACATATATATGTATATATATTTTAACATATATATATATATACATATTTTTTTTTTACAAAGGAAAACACAAGTCACCCTCTGGCTTACCTTCCTGTTGTGAGTGCTCCCAATGGCCAACAGTGCGTGGGGGTCCCAGGATTCGGAGTGCTGGGGGGTCTGCTGGTGCCCACTGCTAGCACAGGCTGTGGATCCCCCTCAGGGGAGAGCTCATCCTGAGGGAGGGGAGGGTAGAGGCAGGGCTTGGGGTGGCTGTCTGCAGGGGAGGGGGGCTTTGAGTACTTCTGGGGAATCCCAGGAGGAAGGTCAACAGACACAAGAGATGCTGTGATTTCCCCACGCGCTCACTCAGCCTGGGAGGAGAGGCCTGCACACAGCTGAGGCCCCTGTGGCGAGGTCCCTCTTGGAGAAGCCTCGGGTGCCACCCACAGGTGCCCAGGGGACCCTTCTTGGGCTTTGGGGAGTGCTAGACAGAGGATGCCTTCACAAAGGCTGGGAGAGAGGCACCCTTGGGGTGGGACAGGCACCTCAGTGCTGTCTTGGTAGGCCTGGAGACAGACCCAGGGACTCCCAGCATTAAGGTTCCTTGAAGCAGGCATCTCGTGAGAGCAGCTGGAGGCAGAGAGGTTTGTCCTGTGACCCTGACACTACTTGGTGCGAGGCTCCTGTGCCTGGAAAGCGGGACTCACCAGGATAAAGCCTGAGCTCCTTAGCATGGTGCCCGAGGCTTGATTGGCCCCTGCCTTTCCCTCCCTCGAACCATCCTTATCTCACCACTTACAGTCCCTGGCCTCTGGTTTGCGCCTCTGCCTGAACTTTCTCCTTTCTGCCTGGCTATCACTTACACCAATTCACCTGTTTTCGCTGGGCCCAGCAGAGTGCTTGGTAAATGGCCAAGAACATGTATGAAAAAATGAATGAGTGGAAAGAGTGGGGGACTCACCTGGGATTCCCCCAGTATTCAAACCATGACCCATCTGGAGACCCAAGTCTCCAGCATCAGCTGCGTGTGGTACTCAGGCCCTTCTGGGTTTCTGCAATTGCTGCTGGAGGGATGGTGGCCACAGACACATGGCCCCATGACGCCTGTGTCCAGCCAGCACTCACCTTGCCTGGGGCAGGCAGGCAGAAGGCAACCGGTACCCTCTCTCAGCCAGGGCCCCTCTGCCGGTCACAGAGATCTCAACTCTGCCACTGGGCTGCGTCTCGCTGGTCACTCCTGGTTCTGTTTCCTCACAGGCTCAGGAGGAATGAAAATCTGACAAAACCCCAAAAGCATCACCAGCCGGTGTGATGCCAGCCTCCTGTGGAGAGGCCTCCAGGTGAGATGTGTTTTGCTGCACATTCAAATCACCTGAGGGAGCTTCGAAAACTGCAATGCCTGGCTTCATCTCATAGCAGAGTTGTTGGAGGTGGGACAGGAGTGTGGGTGAACCAAGACAGCATCATGCTTTGTGAAATTAGTCAAAGAAAAAGAGAAAGACAAATACTATATGATAATATCAGTTGTACGTGGAATTTAAAAAAATAAAACATATGTGTATACAAAACAGAAAGACTCACAGACATAGGAAACAAAACGTGTGGTTACCAAAAAGGAGAGGGAGGTGTAGAGGGATGTGATTAACAGGTACAAACGATTATACTTAAAATAGATAAGCAACAAGGATATAAGGCATAGCACAGGGAATTAATTATACTCATTATATTATAATAATCTATAATGGAATCTAATCTGCAAAAATACTGAATCACTATGCTGTATACTGAAACTACCACAATGTTGTAAATCAGCTCTATGTCAATAAAGAACAAACAAACAAATAATGCCCCAGGAGACTCTCAGGTGTGGCCAAGTTTGAAAAAAAGGCTAGGGAACTTTAAAAAAAAATCCCTATGTCCCGGACTGCCCCAGAACAATGCAATTAGACTCTGTTTGGGGGCCTGGGAGTCCTATGACTTGGTTGGGTGTGTTTGTTTTTGTTTTAAATGTCTTAAATTTTTCAAGAATAAGAATTTTTATTTATTTATTGTGGCTGTGCTGCGGGGCATGTGGGATCCTAGTTTCCCAACCAGGGACCGAACCTATGCCCCTGCAGTGGAAGTGTGTTAGTTGCTCAGTCGTGTCCAACTCTTTGCAACTCTGTGGACTGTAGCCCACCAGGCTCCTCTGTCCATGGGGTTTTCCAGGCAAGAATACTGGAGTGGGTTGCCATTTCCTCCTTCAGAGGCTCTTCCTGACCCAGGGATCAAAACTGGGCCTCCTGCTTTGGCAGGAGGATTCTTTACCGTCTGAGGCACCAGGGAAGCACGGTGGAAGTGGGAAGTCTTAACCGCTGGACCACCAGGGAAGTCCCTGGCCTGGTTGGGTTTGATAGGTCTCCAGGTGGTAGTAATGTGCAGGGGGCTGAGAACCTCTGATGAAGCCCAAAGCCCTCATTTAGCTCATCAGAATCAGAAAGGGCAAGGTACTTGCCTGATGACATGTAATAAATGGTGGGGATGGGACTAGGCTATGAACCCTGTTCCAGGGTCTGAATCCTAATCCAATGCCCTTCCTATCACACAGGGCAGCCGGCACTCATGGAGGGAACTCCCTCTGGCATTCATTTATAGGCACTGGGTTGGCACAGCTGGTCAAGATGTTGCAAGATCACCCTTGACTTTGATCAGAGAGCTTGTGCGGGGCCACCACTCCTCTCCCTGAACTTTGTCAGACCCGAGGGCAAAACACTTTGGAGAGAGCACCCAACTCAGTGGAAACAGATTTTGTGATGCTCAGAATGACACAGATAGTGGTGACAAAACAGAAGCAAATGTGGGGTAAAAATCTAGAAGAAAGAACCCTACCTAGAGGGATTATTATCAGGGCTGCTCTCACCTTGCACTCTCCTGGAAACCGCCTGGCATTTCTATGCCTTTTGCCCTGATTCACAGACTCTTTCTGTCCTTCCCATCAAGTGGTTCTGTGGGAGCATCATGGATTTGGAGACAGCCTGCCCTGGTTTTCCCTCCAGCTGTACCAACAATAGAAGTTGGAGACCAATACTATTTTTTAAAATTTATTTTTAATTGAAGGATAATTGCTTTACAATATTGTGTTCATTTCTGCCAAACATCAACATGAATCAGTCATAGGTATATATATCCCCCTCCCTTTTGAATCTCCTTCCTACCCTATCCCACCCCTCTAGGCTGTCACGGAGCACCACATTTGAGTTCCCTGAGTCATCCAGCAAATTCCCATTGGCTATCTGTTTTACACGTGGTAGTGTATGTGGGAAACCAATATTATTGGGTGCCTCCCATGAGCAGGCACTGTACTTTCATGTTCTTTGGCCTCTCTTAATACTTAGAAGAATTAATCCTGTATGAATCACTAATGTCCATTTTACAGACAAGAAAACTAAGGCTTGGGGAGGTTAATAGCTTGCTCCAGATCACCTGGGTAGTGATGGCGCTAGGATTTAAACTCAGTCTGCAGAGTCCGTGCTTTCTCTCCTGGAGCACCTGCCTCCCAGCGCGGGCCTCACCTATTTCAGTTTGGCCAAATCTGAGCTCTTCTTCATCTGTCAAAATCCTCCTCAGCTTCTGGGACGCAGGGACTCTCTGCCTGCCTTTGTAGCCCTTATCACAGCCTGGATTGAGCCTGGTCTGTCTGTAGCCTCCATGGTGCCATCTCTCATATTCCTCTTGACCCCAGGGTACCCCGCCCATGGGAGGAGCCCAGAAAAGAGCAGCGGTCTCTATGGGTGGCAGAGCCCCGGAATTCTCCAGCCCTGTGAGGAGACATACCCCGTGTGAGGGCAGCAGAGACCTTGCTGCACTCTGTCCCATCCAAGACCTCACTTGCCAGTGTCTCGTCTTCAATTCAGAAGGCTCCTCTCCTTCCTAAGAGGCTTCTTTCTGATCCAAATTCGTAACGAGGGGAAGGTAGACATGGGCCATGATCAGCTTGTCATAAACTTACTTGGAATGGGACAGTGGACTGGCACTTTAACTTTATACAACATTTTTATTATTAACACAACATTACAGTAACATTGAAAGAATTTAAAGAGACAACAGTCCAAGGCACAATCCTACCTACTCTTACACAGTTCGTCTATGGATCTTTTTAACCTTCAGCCAGAGAAATACACAGTTTGTTTTTTTACTTAGTTCTAATCACAGAGTTTACAATTTTGTGTTCTGCTTATTTTGCTTAGAAGTAGCCTACAGACATCTTTCCATACTCTCATCTTCATGCTGATCCATTCTAACATCTGTAGAGTCTTCTATCACATTTTTGAGGCATGGTTAAGTTGTCCCCCCATAGTTAAAGATTAATGTTCATTTTTATAAATAATCGTATGATGGACATCTTTGTCCACACATTTCTCTCGGAAGGGTGGAGAGGCCAGCGCTGTTGTGTGGCAGCAGGATGTGAAGGGGTGGGTGGAATGGGGGCAGAAACTGGAGGAAGGTCAACTTTTGCCTCAGTTTTGTCTGCACCAGCCCAGCTCACAAAGCTGGCTTCCCAGTCATCATCACATAGGCAGTTAGGTCACAGTGGTAGTGGTTTAGTCACTAAATTGTGTCTGACTCTTTGTGGCCACATAGACTATAGCCCACCAGGCTCCTCTCTCCATGGGATTTCCCAGGCAAGAATACTGGAGTGGGTTGCCATTTCCTTCTCCATGAGATCTTCCCAACCCGGGGATCAAACCCTAGTCTCCAGCACTGCAGGTGAATTCTTTACCAAGTGAGCCATCAGGGAAGCCATCTTCCCTAGGTCACAGGCATCTCGAGATTTCTGCACTGTCTCTGGCTCTGAAAACTCGGCCTTCTTCCTTGCCTATGTTTGTAAAAAGGTTGGGGAGCTAGACACCACATGCTGCAATGAAAGATCCTGCAGGCTGCAACTAAGACCTGGCACAGACAAATAAATTTAAAAAATAATATTTTAAAAAAATCTTTCTTAAAAAAAAAAAAGTAGGCAAAGGGCTAAGTGTACTTGGGGTTTTCCTCTAAACACCCGAGAGAAATTTCTTACTCCTCCCAACTGTAGTAGTCATTTTATTATTATTTTATCTATTTCTTTTGGCTGCACTGAATGGCTTGTGGGATCTTAGTTGTCTAATGAAGACCTGAACCTGGGTCCCCAGCAGTAAAGGCCTGAATCCTAACCACTGGACCATCAGGGAATTCCCATATTTGTCATTTTTAAAGTTGAGGTTGTACCTCTAACTGTGCGAGAAGCTGTAGGAAGGAGGGGTCTGGACTATACTTTGGTCTGAAGAAGTGATGAGGTCCCCATCACAGTGGCTGGATGCATTGGGGGCCAAGTTCAGCTCCAAAGGGTGGGTGAGACCCCATTTGGTGATATAAAGGGGGAAAGTTAACTTGCTCAAGGAGATGGTGGAAACTCAGGCAGGAAGATGGGCATGAGAAGGGAATGTGTGGAGTGAGTGAGGGGCCAGTGAGGAGACAGAACTCACTCGGTTGGGTTTGTATTAGGGAAAGGTTAAGAAATGAGGCTGGAGACAGGGCCCCTGGACTAGCTGTTAGCCTGGGGAGTGATCCTTCTCCAGGTCTGAGTTTCTCTGGCTCAGAGTAGAGAACAGTAATGAGGGTGAGAGCGTTGATTACATGTGGCAATTTCTTATAATCAGGAGAGGGGAAAATATAACCTAACACTTGATTAGGCAAACAGCTGAGATTCAAGTTGCTGTGTCCAGAGCCTGAGGGAGAACAGGCTGCCTAGTGCCTGTCTCAACTCACACAACACTCTCAGATGAGCACAGTCCTGCAGAGAGTCAGGAAAGAAGCTGTAGTGTCTTGTCTCAGCCAAGGCAGACTCTTGGGGGCAGGTGATGCTCAGGCCACATGATGCTCCAAGCACCACCACAACGGATGCTTTGACAATGGGAGAAGGTCTTTCTCTGCAAAGTCCCCTCTAGTCCTCACTTCTGTGGTTCCTCCAGAGACTCCAGAACCTACTAGGCAAACATGGGAAGATCAGCTTCTGGAACGGCCAGGATTTGCTCCATAAGCCTCTGCCACCTTGGTTCCAAGTCTCCATCACCCTTACCTTTTCTCTAGGATTAGCAATGGGGAGAGGTGGCTGGCCCCTTCTCTGGGTCCCAGCCTCTTGGGCTGTTTGCTTATTTTGGTTTTGGAACTCTGGTGTTAAGTAAAAACATCAGGGATTCCTGGCAAGGACTCAGACAAAATGAAAATTAGAAAAACAGACAAGTTTCCAAGTCTTCCCAAGAAAATAGCCCAAGCTGTGGATGGCCCCCAGAGAACACTCTTTGGCAACAGACAGCCCCAAACCACCTGTTTTAGCTTGGGAGGCTTTCTCTGCTTGAGGTTCATGTTAGAAATTCTGACCCACGTGTCCAGCTGAAACTGACTGTTGGAGGTTTCCATCTTAATGGAAACATCTCAGACTCAATAGGTCAAAGTCAAACTCGCCCTAGACCCCTGGTGTTCAATCTCTCTCTCTCAGTGACTGGTACCACCGTACTCTCAGAGGCTAGAATCAGACACACGGGTTGTACCCTTTTCTCTTCTATTAGCCAGACACCAAATAACCCCCAACTCCCTGTCCTCCTCCTTACTTCTCCTGCTGCTCCCTCGGTTCAAGGCTCTCTTTCTGATCTGCCACAACGGACTCTTCAATGATCTTCCTACCTCTATCCTGTCCATTCTCAAAACAAGGGGAATTCATCCAAAACACAAAGTCAATCTTGTGCCCCACCCCACTCCCTTGGAATGCACAATGGAGAAAATAATTGAAAACCAAATCATCGCAGGGCAGCATCTTTCTAAGGGTGAGGGAGGCAGGGGCATCGGTTCTATCAGTGGGGAAGTAAATCTCTGTCCACCTCCCTTTCTCTTGCAGGAAGGGGTGGGGAGAACAGCTGAGAGCTGCAGAAAAAGGCTTAGTGGTCACTGACGACTCCTACTGTGAGAAAAGTAGGTAGAAGCTACAAGGTGTGTTGCGTTAAGTCAGAAAAAGTAATATAAACACATTACCTTAAAAAGAAATATTTTTCTGTCTGCTACCCCGGAGATGGCACTCTTGCCACCTCATCCCCCTATTCCTCATTCCCCCCCGGTGCTCGCATGCATCTCAAGCCCCCGCGCTGTGATCTCTGACATCACTCACACGAATGAGGATTCCACGGACACAGTTGTTTCCAGGTATCGAGGCTGGAAAAAAATTAGGATGGGTCTGGAACATCTTGTTGTTGCCAGAAATCAAGAATGCTTTCAAGAATGTCAAGGGCAGTGCTGCAAGGACAAAGGAGCCAAACAAACGGGTTTTGGGGCCAAGCTTTGATCATCAGGGCATTAATTAAAACAAGTCAAGCCAGAGAAAGAATGTGTTCAAGATAATTCTCAAAACTCTCTAAGCATATAGAGGAGTGGTTTGAGAACAAAAGGGCAGTGACTGTAATGGCATATGTTGCTTTGGATTGACTTTAGTAAGTGGGGCATTTCATGTAAACAGGTCTTTTCTTTCTTCTGTTAATTATATATGTTTACCGAGGATAGATATATTTTTGTTTCTATCTGTGAAAGCAGGAAAGAATAAATGCAGGGAACACTGAGTTAGCCAACTTGTATAAGAAAAAGTAGGCACTATCCAGGCTGCAGGTTCTCCTCCTTGGGGTGACACAGGAAACTGAATAAAGGTGGTTACCCCATGTTCCACAGCATCCTAGAGAGGAGCTGAAACTGCAGACCCAGTGCCTGCTCCCCTAGGGAATGAAACTTGGAGATGGTTTCTATAAATTATAACCCAACACCAGCAAGAAGATGTGCATTTTTAATAATGCTAACAGATCAGGCCAATTCATCAAGATGACAGGACAATGGGTTAGGTCAATGCTGGCCAAGCAAGATGAGAATTCATCTCATTTGAGGGGGAAAATTCAGTGCCGTCAAACAGAAAACCTTCCCCAAAGGTGTGAACTTAAAAAGTCTTATTGAAGAAACAAAGAACAGTTATGAAAAGGAAGCTTCCTGACCTGATTTCGTCTCCTTTGCAACCCCTAGTCTGACATCCTGACTTAGAATGAATTGTTCAACCACCCAGATTTTGCAACTCCAGCAGTTTGAGGTGGTGCTTTTTCTTTTTCTTGTGGTCTGGTAAAATTGTTAAAATCCTTAGAAAGCTAAAAATAGTACTTGGTAAAAATCACTGAAATCCTAGGAAAGTGTCAAAACTGGCACCCCAGGAAGGTGCAGAATTCAGGAGAAGAAACAAGTGAAATCCACAAATATTAGTGCTTTTATAACAGGTTTTGATGTAAGGGTATTAAACAGCTTTGGAATTGTAATATTTTGTGTATTTAATACAGTGAGAGCTTTAAAGAGGATTTGCTATGTTAAATTTGTGAATTTAATTAAATGTTTGGAGGTATTACTTTAAGTTTGCAATCAGTGTTAAATGTTTGTGAAAATCCAATGTGCTAAATTAACAAATTTTTATTTATTTATTTTACTTTTGGCTGCCCTGGGTCTTCACTGCTGTGCGGACTTCCTCTAGTTTAGGCAAGTGGGGGCCACTCTCTAGTGGCAGTGCTTGGGCTTCTCATTGCGGTGGCTTTCCTTGTTGCAGAGCATGGGCTCTAGGGCACACGGGCTTCAGTAGTTGTGGTGCATGGACTTAGTTGCCCTGAGGGACATGGAATCCTCCCAGACGAGGAATAGAACCTACGTCCCCTGCATTGGCAGGTGGATTCCTAACCACTGGACCTCCAAGGAAGTCCTAAATTAATGAATTAAAAAAAAAAGAATTTAATTTCATAACAGTTTCAGACCCACAGCAAAACTGTGGGAAGTAGAGACTTCCCATTTACCCCTTGTACCCCAAATAGATGCAGTCTCCCACACAGTCCACACACCCCACCACAGCAGTAGGTAGGGGTACTGTAATCAGTGAACCAGCACTGACACAGCATCATCACCCAAAGCCCAGTGTTTACATTAGGGTTCACTCTTGGTGGATTGTGCTGTATGGGTTTGGACGAATGTATAAGGCTCTGTATCACCATTGTGTCACCACACAGAGTAGCTTTGCTGCCCTAAAAAAACCTCTGTGCTCTGTCTATTCATCTCTTCCCCTGTGCCGGCCCTTGGCAATCCATGACCCTTTCAATACCTCTATAATTTTGCCTTTTCCTGAATGTCATATAGTTGAAATCATACAGTATGCAGCCTTTACAGCTGGGCTTCTTTCACTTAGTAACATGCATTTAAGCTTTGTAGCCCAGTTGGTAAAGAATCTGCCTACAATGCAGGAGACCCGGGTTCGATTCCTGAGTTGGGAAGATCTCCTGGAGAAGGAAATGGCAACCCACTCCAGCATTCTTGCCTGGAGAATCCCATGGACAGAGAAGCCTGGCAGGCTACTGTCCATGGGGTCATAAGAGTTGGACACAACTTAAAGACTAAACCACCACCATGTCTTTTCAAACCTTGATAACTCATTATTTTTCTTTTAGTGCTGGATAATATTCCATCATCTGGATGTACCACAACTTGTTTATC